CTCTCCCTTCCACTCTCACAATCTGATTCTCGCCCACCGTCCATCCCTCCCTGTGCGCTGATTGGCTGACGGTTAGTCAGCTGCAGCCAATAAGTCTTGTTGAAAATCTCAGTGTTTAGTCTGGTGCTAGGCAGCAGGATCAACAGACAGGTGGATCAGGCAAAGTCATCGCCCCGGTTGGCTGCACGGCAAAGCTCTGTTAGCTTTTAAAGCAACATTACACCCTGGGTTAGCAGTCACAAAACATTATGTCCGTCATCTTAAACAGTTTAGTCAATATTTGTGAGCATCAACAGCTCTCTTCTAAAGCCAGAGTACTGAGAAGCATTGCTGAAATTTTGTCAAATGTTCAACAGAAATAACACGTCTCTGCTCTCATGACTGAATTTTCATTTTGGGTTTTTGCACCCAATTAAGCTGTATTTTATTGTACCATTTACACATAAACGATTGTGCTCTGTGTGCATCATATGGCTCAGAAGTAGATTTTCTAAATTAACGTCAACAGGACATCGGAATTTATTTCGTGCAATGTCTATAAGCGTCATGACTCTCTTGTTTTTAGTCTTTGCACTCGAGATGTCGTATTTGTTCTCGTACTAAAGTGATATTATTTCTTTGTGAATTCTTTTTTTTTTGCAAGAGGCTGAACACTAAGAAAGAGGGGCCAGACCAGGGCGCAGTAAGACTAGGCCCCTCTACAGGGGAAGCAGAATAAACCCTGTGTGCTGCCTCCGCTCTCTCTTTCATTGCCAGTCACAGTCTGCACTTTCTCTCCAGTTTGCACAATAACTCAGGAAACAGACTTATCCAAAATATTCTGTGCAGACTGTCAAATTTCAGCATTTAGGTTTTTTATTGTGTTATTCTATCCTTGGCAAGTCAAGTCACATACTCAACCACTACGAAATGGCTGGATGGGTATGTCTCTCATTAGACTGAACTGTATAAAATTGTGTCTGGATTAACCTGTTGACTGTTTTTTCTGTCATGGCTTGAGGCAACATTAAATTAATGGAGATAAGAGCTTTGAGCCAAAAATAACACCCTGTCTCTGGTGTGCCTGTGGAGAATAAAATAGCACAAATGATCTTCAGAGTTTTGGCTGCCAGTGTGAGTGTGTGTGAGTTTTGGTAAAGATAACAAAAACGTGTGGTAGACTTTTAAAAATGCCAATTGTCAAATGAACAACTCCTGATTAATACAGCATTTATTTTTATTTTTTTTAAAAAGGGTGCCTACAGAGAACTCCTGTGCACATTGTTATTGTTTCCACCTCTATCTTACCCTCCCCCAATGATTATAAATATTTATCATGTCCTATGTATTACCAGGTTGAGAAGTCTGTCTGATTTCTCCACCCCTGTCTGGTTCACAATGGCATATCCCATACCCAAGGGAAGTCCTTTACCCCAACACCCCCCCACTCTCCAATTTGAACTTTGACCCTGGCCTCCTGCCTCTCAGGATATGAAATGACCCTCTAAGTGGGGGAATGTTTTGGAACTGTTTTAGCTGAGTCTGTTTAATGTAGGCTGAAGAAGAGCAGAAGAGGAGCTCAGAGAGATTCATGGCCATTTTGTTTAGAGGTCTCTTATTTTGTCTATTCAATCACAATGACTAGCACAAAGTAAATGATTGTATGTGTCAGACAATGGGGAATGCATGTAATTACACTTTATCGTCTTAGGTATAGTGTGCTGCGTGCGAAAGGATTGTGTGACATGGCATACAAAGTGGGTGTGGTGGTTAATCTTCTCAGCTAGTAACGGCACTCATCTCATATTTAATAAGCACATGTGCCAATCATGGAGAATGACAAAAATGGCTCACCAGTAGTTCAGTACGTAGCGGTTAGTAAAATGTATTTCATTGTTGGTGAGGTGCAGAGTGGCAGTGCAGACCCACTGGGATGTCACTGTAAATACGAATACAAGTCATAACCAACCAGTTTGATGTGCAGGAAAGCGCAGACGTCTGTGTGGCTGTGTTGCAGCAGTAAGGTGTTGAATGCACGTGATTTTAATCAAAGTAACCACAATGAATTCTCCAGTGTGATGGCAACACTTCTCAAGTTAAGATTCTGCAGGTCTAACGCACGTCTGTCCTGCTGCCTTCAGCTTTCAACTGAAGGTGAAAGTTGTGCTACAAGCAGTAGTTGTTGTTAATGATAGATAATAGTAAGAATCAGCCATCACTCCTGAGCTCAGTGCAGACTGCTGTACTGCAATTCTAATCATATTACGCATGTATCTTTAATGCCAGTCTAAACGTGTCTACTGATTGGAGAATGTGTTTATTTACATTATTCGATATTATTGGGTAAATGTCGTGCATTTCTGTCTTGGTTTCATTTGCCTGCGGGATAAGCAGATTATCAAATGAGTGACACTGAATTCCAAATCAGCAAATCATCTCCTGGTATTTTGATGATTTGCATGAATCTCCAAACAATTTAACTACCAAGCTGTAGTAATGCTGTTTTGCACCACCGTGAAAAAGATCTTACTGTGTTTGTCCTGGCCACAACAACCGTCTGCGGTTGAGTGTCGGCCATAAGACATACTGGCCACAATTGATTTTGGATAAATATTCTATGGTTTTTGCATTTGAATGCGTATATATCTTATGGTTTTCTCTAACCAGTATAATTCACTCTCTCTGCTCTTCTTTTAGAAATCATACACAAATATCTGTTTTCTGCATTACTAGCAGTAGTTACAAAGTCTGAATTTACTTTTAGTGACATGCTTACTCACTGAAATCATATTATAAATACTACATTGCAACAAATGGAGCTGTTCAGATATGCACATGAATATCTTATGTTTTTCCACTGCATGTTACTTGCTCACTTGCTGGTTATGTTCTATGTCAAATGAAGCTCTGCTCTCTGGTATATGCAGCATCCTTTGTGGTTGTTGTGCATTCACACACGTACAAAGTTGAAATTTGGTAAGCACAATCTGTGGAAACGGAAATTACGATTTGATTGTCAGCTATCGAAAAACATTTCTACAAATGCTACATAGACACAAATCTAATAAAACACAAAATTCAGTGTAACACAAAACAGCCCGTGCCATAGCTTCCTGCTCCAGTCACAAACTGAGCATCATGAACACGAGCAGGTATGGCAGATGCTCAACAGTTTGGTGTTAAATTGAGTGAGGGAGGTGGCGTGTGAGAGGCTCTCGGGGCACAACTTTAATCTCGTGTCTGGTGGATCCTTTGCTCTTCAGTGAGTCACAGGTTCTTGTGTTATTGTAACACACCACCTGATTGTGTTTGGCTACTGTTCTGGCTAAACTTCACAGGTGTGCAGCATGGGAAGGCATGTTTGCCTGCTGTTGATGCATGAGAGATTCATATTCACATACTGGTTAGAAGTCCCTGCTGTATTTATTCAGTCACTGAAGAAACAGGACTTGAAGTGAAGTGAAGTTATTTCCTCAGTACACCCTTTTTTGGACTCTTCAGCCACAGTACTTGACTTATTTGATATATCATACATCTGGTCTATTGTTTGTCTGGCGTGGTTTGGATGAATCGTGTTTTTAGAAAAGAAGCATATAAGCTTTATTTCAGTCACATTTTAATCAAGAGCTAGAGTGCGAGTTCGTTATTAGCTCATCGTTCATCCAGCCTGTTGTATTTACTCTGTCAAAAAAATTCTGGCGTCTGAGCTGAAATCTTAAGCAACCACCCCGCCCATAGAGTTGACTTTGGAAAGCGCGAAGCATTCCTGCTCAACACCACATTAGCCCCTACTTCTCCCCACCTCGGGGTGCTGGGCAGCCTGCCAGGTAGAGAGGTTGCCATGACTCCTAACCCCCCCCTTTGCCCCCCCCCCCCTCCCTGAAGGTGTCAGATTTTGGGAGGGGGCAGGCCGGGTTAACATTTTGATTCCGACAAAAGATGTCAGCAGATGTCACAATGTCAGCAGAATACTTACTGGGAATGCTGTGGCTTTTCTGGTAGGAAATCATGTGATTTATCCAGCCAAGATTTTGTAATGGTGCTAGGCGAGAGAGAGGGAGAGACACACACACAGAGGGAGAAAAGGGGGGAAACTTTGAATAAAGCACATCGTTTTTATCCAGTTTTTTTCTCTGCTGTTCTTGTTTGTTTCATAGAAAATGGCGGACAGCGCATCGCTGAACTGAACCCGGATTGTCAGTGAGCTCAGTTTAGAAGTGCCCCTCGGTCTTTTCATCAGTCCTCTCATTACCAAAAACATAAACAAAAAAAAAAAAAAAAAAAAAAACGCTTGCAGCTCATTGCTCACACCCAGGTAGGAAGTGTAAAAATAGAGATGGTGAACCAGACAGGATAGTAGAAATCTGGGTAAGTGGCATTTTCACTCCCTCCTCACTTCAGACTTCCCTTTGTCGCACTGCAGCCAGAGGAATATTCCGTTGTTTGTGGCTCTCTGGCATCGGCACAGTTAATGGTAGCTGACCGTGGCATGCTTGATTACACTGGCATCCCTCTCAGGCTCTGCTCTCTGCTATCTGCGGTCTTGGCTAAGTTGAGCTAACCTCTCACCACAGCCACATTGCTGCTGGCCAGGAAGAGGACTGCTACGGCAATTCTGCCGGCTAGTTTGGGGTAGCAGTCCGCAACAGAGTTTTGATTGTTATTATTACGGACTTAATTTTATATTTCGGAACTGCTGAGGCATGTGGTGCTCCCAAACCGAGGCACAGCAACTTAAGAATGTACAGTAATTTGTGTTTGAATATTTTTCCCCATGTGCAGCTGATGTTGTCAGAACAGTTGCTGGCATGTTTTGCAATGTAATGCTCCTCTTTTTTCGTTTCTCACCATCACTAGTTTCTTTGCACAGTGTAGTGACAGTGTTACTAGTGTTTCATAAAGTACTGTAGCTGTTCATGCAGTGTTGGAAGTAAATCTAAATATGCAGTAACATGCAGCCTTAAAAACAGCACTTACCATCTTGTTGTGTTTTAAACCAACTCTCCTTTTCCTGTTTTCAGTGGAAGGAACTCAAAATTGACCCCAGGCAGCAAAACCCCCATGAGCAAAGACACATCCACGAAGGGTAAGTTATCACAATCCTCTCAACATCTGTGTGATGAACTCTCATCTTTCTGCGGTGAATCTCAACAAAAGCTCTTGCTGCAGTTTCTCTAAATGCCATCTGAACTGAAGTCACAGTCCTTCAGCTCCAGACCTTCTGTTCACAGTCACTGTCGTTCTCTGTATGAACGCTGCACTGTCAGTCTGATGTTAGGTACGCAGGAGAAGTGTTGAGGTCAAGTCTTATGTTTAAATGACCTCATCTGAGACACATCACACATACTTGTATAATTCTTTGTGGCATTGTCCAAATCTCCATGGCTCAGATTTTATGCAACATTTTTAGCCCTTTATTCAGTTATTTTGGTACTTTGGCCATAACCATTTGGCACAAACCCGTAGATCCGATCTTGTGGCAAATCTGACAGCACAAGCTCGCCTCTGTGGGTCTTTGTCACTGTGGTGTGAACATCGGCTTTAAATTTTTTTCTTTTTGTTTTAAAACTTCATATATATATACATATATATATATATATATATATAAATAATCCTGTGGCAGTATTCTAAGAGTACTCTGCTGTCCCGGCAATTCACAACATCTCTGTTAGTTAGAAAAACCTTCCGTTAGCTCAAACCTGAAATATGATGATGGTGGTGAAGCATTGTGTGAGATAAGGAGGACAAGGAGTTGGGTGGGCCAGAGGATGATATGTTTGTTTGATAAATAGAGAAGAAGGAACATAGTTGAAAATGTGTGCATCCGGGTTGAGGTAGTAGGTTGTATGGTTTAGAATTACACCCTGGGAGTTAACTGTACAACCTTCTAGCTTTCCTTGGAGTACACGTATGACATCAGTTTGTACAGAAAATTGCTTTGCTCATAGTTCAGCATACAGTATGGAGGTTTCCAGTAGCATTCCATTTTATAGTGGCCCTGTGCAGTGTTAATGGTCTTCATATAATATTATTTTCCTTCCTTATTTCATAGCTGACCTTTAGCTATGGCCAGCCAACCTGCTTGCAGCTCAAAACCTTTAATTAGCATTAGCTCAATGTATGCTGTGTTTTTTAGACATAATGCATTGTGGTTAGCCGCAGTAACTGCGCTGGATCGATCGCATTGTGGTGTCCCTTTAACTGCAAAGCACACAGAACAACAAATGAGCAGTCTACTGTTTTCCTCTGTCAGTCCCTAAGTTCTGATATATGCAGTTAATGAAAGATCTTTGGAGTAAGTGCAGTTTGAATAGACCCAATCCAATCCCATGTTAAAGTGTTGACCCAACACCGTGGCATTTTGATAATTAAAATGTGTTAAATATGAGCAATTTATTGTCTTATTTGGGAATGCCATTGTCTGACTAAGGTGTGTGGTGGAACATATTTCACACAGTGATGGCTTCGCTTTCTCAACAGTTGCTCCGTCTTTGCGGCCTGTTATTACACCTCAGCCTGTTTAGTCAGCATGGGGTCGTGGCGTCTTGTGAGTCAGTCGCACGTGAGCTGTGCACCAAACGTTATGATGCACAGATGGTTCGACATAAACACAAAGTATGAAATATCGTAATCATAATAAATCTGACTTGTTCTGTTTAACAGACTCTTCCTGGTGACTGTCATGCCCTGCGGTTTTACAGCGTCGCCATTTGCACGTTGCATTTGAATATTTTTCAGCAGCTGACTCTGGTTCGGTACACTTCTCATCTCATGTGGAGGTTTGATTATCACATCTACGATTATTTAAGCTTCCTAAGTAGACCTCAGTCATACTCCAGCTTTCCCAGCATGGGAAAAGCTGAGTGTTTATACGTTGTTTCTGAGCCTTGTGATATATTGCGGTTTCATACAATGAGTATTTGTAATATGAGGTCTAGTTTCAGGTTGAAGCTTGCCTCTGCAACACTGAAGTCTCTGTTTACTGTAGACTTGTCCACTAGGCTGAATGCATCTGACTTCATCTGTGTCTGGCACGAAGCCACAGCTTGTAAAACGACTCCAAAGCACCACACACGAGAAAAATGACCTGGCAGATCAGCTCCAGATTTACCACAGTTTCTTACTCACCAGGACGACTTGATTTGAAATGTAGCTTGAGCAGGGAGCGTTGTTGTAATTTCTGCTGTAGTTCTTTATCATTGTGACAGTGTTTTTTTTTTTTCAGTTTGATGGATGACACTGCTTTTGTAGTGTTTAGGGCCAGGGCTGAGTGGACCACCTCTCTCCAACCTTTGTCATTTATCCAATTAGCTCTTTGGTTTAAAGTGGTTAAGACTGCAGCTTTTTTGCTGTGTTTGATGCTCAGAGTTTCCAATGAACTGGCCTAATACTAAACCAGAAGTGTTGTTACCCTTTGAAACCATTTACAATAATCTCCAAAGGCAGCATTTGTTCTTTAGATTCCCTGCATCCTAGGGACTGTGTACACATTAGATTTATAATAATCAATCCATTATTCATTTTACAGAAGTATTTAGAAATTTAAACCACAGTGCAAAATCTGAACAAAGGGTCCAGGTTAAAAGACAGAGTAGTCTTTGAGTTTTTAAGTTTACAGAAGTATGTGATTCCCAAAATCATCTTTGGACGTGTAGACAACACTGGGAAAACCCCTTGATTGTTTCCTATCCATGCTGATATTGAATGGGATTAATTAGAACCAGCTATTTTTAAAATCATCAGTAATTAAATCTGTAGCGATGCTAAGACCTCCATTGAAGGCCGGAGATCCTGCACAGCTTTTGTATCAGCAAAAAGAGTCACTGTCATCAAACAGGTTTCCGTGAGCGAATGTGATCCTGGTAAATCCCTGGAAACCCAAGGACTCCTTTTATCTCCTATTTTGTAACAACAGTGACAGGCAGATCACGCCTCCTCATTCTGCCAGGGTTCACACCACTGCTGCTCTGACCCACTCACAGAATAACTGCCAAAGAGTGGACATTGCACAGAGCGACACAGAGGGGATGTGATGCTAGTCAGCTTAAAATGAAGAATTGCTTTCGGCAGGATGAAATCCAGCTGCTTTATTTTATCAGAAATATATACTTTATTTTACAGTTTAGCTAAAAAGAGGTCTTTCCTCTTCCTTAGCTTTCACAAATTAAACAGAGCATGGAGAGTCAAGATGTGCCTTGCAAGAGTTTATTTTAAGAACGGCGATTTTCTCATCTTTCCTCACCTCTGAACCCCGATGGTTCCTCCAGATGTGTGGAGGGAAGCGTCGCTGCTGAGAATCCTGCTGCCTCAGCACTCCCCTGTCCAGCTGCCCCAGCAGCACAGCTAAAAGTCATTGGTTCCAGCTGGGCCTTCATTTATGGGATGGTTGAACAAATAAATTATGGGATTAGATAGGGGTGGTTCAGGCCACTGATTTTTTTTTTTTTTTTGGTCCCCACTGCTATAACAGCCTCTTTCAAGTCAGTTGGCCAGGAGCCTCAAGGTTCTTCAGCTGACTTTAAGAATTAATAAAATAGGGATTCACTTTATTGAATTTGGTAAGCTACAGTCCAAATTAGGTGAAGAAGAAAGTGCTGGCAATGCCGTGTAGCCTGAGAGTGACTCAGTGTCACCTTTACACAAATTTAAATCTATTAGAAACAACAGAAACAATCAACTATATACATAAACTCTGGGTCTTTTGAGCAAGCAATGATCATATCTATTGCAGAAAGCTCATATCATGTCTGCCTCATTTCAGTGCTTTCTTGTTTTCCAAGAAAAACTATTTTTAAAAATACAAAGCCTTGAATCAATCATTTCAAATATATTTTCTTCATCCTTGGCCAGTTCAATTTGCATTAGTCACCCTTGAAATTTATTGACTGCTGTCTTGTACGACCAGAGCCAAAAGAGCTGATAGTTTCCTAGACTTGGAAAAGACAGACAATGTTAATTCTTCAGAGCTTATATTTCCAGTTGCAGATGAATTTCACTGAGTTAGAAAAGCAAAAACACTCAGCCTCCGTTGGCAGTGGAGTGGATCCAGTATATGTTTTTGTTTGGAGATCTAACAAACAGTATATCCACACGTATCCCCTGTGCACAGGGGTAATATACTCTGATACTTTCTCTTCCTCAAGTTTTCAAGAGCCACAACTAATCTATCACAGGGAGTGACTCTCAGGCACAAAGTACTGGTAAAATCAGCCAACTGCATCTGTAACCAGCCTGAGAGCAGTGATTGGCTTCTTGTTCTTGACGTCACCGACGGGTGGAGACCTTAGTAACAAATCGTCTGAGACCAGAACACTGTCAGTTCTGGCCAGACCAGTACTTTAGTTCCCCAACTCATAAAATCTCACTTCCCCATAAAAGCGAGCAGCCTCAAGCACTATTTCTTCCCTCGGAAACATATTCCCTTAATGTGGTCGGGTTAATGGCAAATGAATAATCATAACACACCAATGGCAGACGGGGGGTGTCATTGATCTGTCTGGAGTCAGCCCCTCTCCGCCTGCTGCATCAGCCACTCTCCTCCTATTGATACGCTCTTGCCCCTTGACCCCTGGGACAGATCAATGCCATTGATTGGAGAAGGGCAGGGACAAGGGCAGGATCTGCTGACTGGCCCGGCAGCTAGTGTGACAAGACATGATCGTCATTAATGTCCCGCTGGCTGGCTGGCTGGCTGGCTGGCTGGCTGGCTGGCTTGCTGGTGAGGCGCTGTGCATCACATATTCCCTACGCCCCCCCCCCCTCCACTCTCCTCCTTCACCCCTCCTACCTCTGCTGTTCCATGTTCCCATTCTGTGCTGCTTGCACTGCCTGAGATAAGTCCATTGTTTGGATACCTGTCTGATGCTCGTCTGGCATCTGTGGCACAGATATGCATCTGCAGGCAGCGTGGAGATATTTTGAGCTTATTGTAGGAAAACGAATGGTGTCATTACAAGTGACTGCTGCACAATGTCTCTTAGCTCATTCTGCGTGCTACTTAACAATCACAATGGAGCCGCTCCTATTTTTGGGTGCTTTGAAAAGCTTTTTTTTCTTGGCACAATTCAAAGAGAGTGAATTAGAATC